CACATCATGTCCGCTTCTCGAGTTTGTCTCAACGATGCTGTCAGTGGCACCAAATATCCCCTCATTTTAACATTCTTTCCCAAAACTTTCTCATACGGGAAAGAAAGTACTTTTCAGCTACTATAAAATTTCTCATATTAAGGGAAGGATTAATTCATTTCTGAATGAAGATTTTACCTCCTTTTTCAACTTCTTTTTTTCTTTCCTTTTTCGTTACTGTGGGCAACTCGACACAAGAAAGTTATTAAGAAAATTATATCAGCAATTACAGGCCACAATACTATGTTGTCGGGGCTGGGATTGGAGGCTCCTCTACAGCTTCAACCTCGCTCTCTCCTACCAGTCGGTGTCGCTCGGATGCTGCATCGAATCGTCCTGTGTCTATGCGAGTCATTTCACCTGGCAAAATGCGGTGAATATTACATGAAAAATGCAGAGATGATTCAACACGGTTAAATTCAACGATAGAACCTACCTATTTTCTCGCCAACATATGCGTGATATTAAAAACGCTTCCAGAAAGTGTACATTCATTCGAGAGAAGGAAAAAGAAAACCATATTTTACGTGAAGTGGCGTAATACTCTGTGAAAAACGCGATATTCGCGGTGATATTCAGTAGTCGTAAATTAAGTTTTTCATATCACTAGGGTGAAACCCTATTGGTACAACGCATGAAATGTAGCAGAATAGGATACACATACCTCCGAAAACAGGATCGAACTTTGCCTTGTAGTAGCTTCCATCAGCACACATAACAGCAACAGTGTTCGTAGTGCTACCGAAGCATGCGATGCAACGATAGTCGGGCACGCGGAACCGTGCAAAACTCCACTCCGACCCAAAGTAGCCACCAAAGAATCTACAAATACGAGAATAATACCATAATTTCATCGAATTCCAAGTCAGTTGGAATAATATTATATTTTTCATAAGGCAATATTTGTGTATAGAATATGTTTTTCACTAGTGTTTTTCATATCACGGGTGAAACTCCTGTAAACGAAATCCCAACACTCATACACACGTCGAACAATCGTTTCAAACGCGAGCGAGTATTTGCAGATGCCGAATGAGGAATTCACGTTACAAGCCAAATGTTAGAATAAAACCAATAAACTTCGGAAATCGTGGGTGAAGAATTCCGAAAACGTGAATTTTTCCCTCCGGAGCTAATCACATGGACCTACCTGAATTTGCTCCGAGCGTTCCCACCGCCCCCTCGAGACTCTCGCCCACCTCCAGAAGGCAATCGAACCGCAAACACATGTACCGTCCCCTGAACGCGACGTTTTTACACGAGTAAAAACGTTCCCATCCATAACGATTTTCCCAACCTACCTTATCACTAGAGACCACAATCCACCGTCCGCTCGGATGGAAAACGATAGAGCATATGTCAGCCCGGTCAACCCCACGCCTGAGCTCCTGGAGGAGGTACCCTGTCGTCGTATCGTGAATTCTTATTAATGTCCCCTAAAACCACCACTACAGCCATACCACTATTTCTACACTTCACATCGCACTAGTGTTCGCAATATCGCAAGTAAATTGTTTTGTGGTTTATTTCAGGAAAGTTTTCGATTATCAACAGAAAACTGCTGTTAGTGCCAACACATCAACCAACTGGAAAATGGCCTGGAGCTACCGATACTTTTCCCTTCCTACTACATAGAGAACTATACACATGTGTAACTACGCTTATCAATGACACTCTAGGAATATATTGACTTCCATATAGTTTTGGAATCTCTTCAGCTCCGCTGAGAAAATCCAATGTAAACTCAAGCTGTTCAAACAATGCATCTCAATGGAGTTCCATCCGTTTTACGTGAAGTGGCGTGAAAAACCCGATATTCGCGATATGAAGTGAATTGAAAACACTTCGAAAATTACACCCGGAAAGTTATGATAACAAACTATACACCGTTCAGTCTAGGGACTTTCCAAAAAATACTAATTTTCGTATTTCGAATTTTTCCACTCGAAAAACGACGTGCCTGCGACCAGTTCAACTTGCTTCTGTCCATGTAAATCTCGCTCGCCCCAAAAATATGAACACCAACCTTGTCACTAGAAGTTGCCAATAGGTTTCCACTCGAATCCAATGCAAGCTGACTGATCTGCGAATCGTGAGCTAAAATCACCGAGGAAATACTCGGCCCTCGAGACTCCGCCGTAAGGGGCATATCATAGGCACTTATACGAACCCGACCTATTAAACGAAAGATGCTATCTTGTGCATGCGTGCAAATGACCTTACCTTTCTGCTGGTCAGCAACTGTGGCAAGCACAGCGCGGCTCTCACTTTGATTCAGCGCTATGATACCTCGAGGGTTATGTGCAGTAGTAATGCTATCGATAAGGGTGAGGTCCGAAAATCGATACACGTACACCTACACCAAATACAAACACAATTCTATCCCCATTAAAAATGCACTGGAGTTTCACAACCCGTTTTACGTGAAGTAGCGTAAAACTCGGTGAAAAACGCGACATTCGCGCTACACAGTAGTCCTGCAATATGTTTTTCATATCGCGGGTGAAACTCCAGTGTTGAAATATATACTAGTTTTCCTCAGCTAGAAATTTACGCACGAATTCGGGTGGAAATGTATAGAAACCAATGAGAATTCCCCTAAATTTTCTCACAATTTCCATATAACACGTAGTTGACCATATACATATTTTCCCACACTGAAAAAAATGTCTATACGAAATTCCGATGTTTTGAAATTTCACACACTGAATGATTTCTATTTTCATTTGTGGTATGACAAAATTGAAAAATAGTAAAAAATCATTTTGATAATTTCACACATGTAAAATTCAATTCTCAGATTTTACTCCACTACACGTGTGACCAACCTTAGAATCAATAGCAACAACAATCATATCTCGCCGCATCCGAACGGCCTTTACGGTCGTTCTAAATGACAACTCCGCGAGGGGTCGGGGATAACGATCATCCTAAACACAAAGGAGGCGATTTGGTGACACAAGGATTTCGTGTCACCCAGTGAAAAACATATGTCACATTTTACTCGGCCTCTGAATGTCGCGTAAAACATGTGATATGTAAAACGCATAGTTGCACATTCATTGGAGTTTCACCACCCTAGTGATATGAAAAACACAAGTGGGGAATATATTTCACGACTACTGCATATCACCGCGAATAATATCGCGTTTTTCATAGAGTTTTACGCCACTTCACGTAAAACGGGTTGTGAAACTCCACTATAAACTAACACCCACACGAGAGAGAATCTTTGCAGTGAGGTTCAACAACAAAGATACGAATGAGGTCCCCCTACGACCTACCCACAAGATCACTTTATGTGGGGCAAATCTAGGATTCCTACCGCCACCTGAAAACAAAACAAACTAATTGTATCTATTCGCACTTGCTGAAAAACTCATCATAAAATACTACTGCTGCAACACAATGGAGTTTCACCCGTTTCACGTGAAGTAACGTAATACTCCATGTGAAAAACGCGGTGATATTCGCGATGTGAAGTGAATTGAAAACACTTCGCGAATAGACCGGAAATATCACCGCATTTCAAGGGAAAAAGTCGCAGGACTTGACGAGTTTTACGCTTTCTTCGCTGCTTACATGTGTTTTTCGCAAGTGAAATATGAAATATGTTTTCCACTACGGTGTTTTATATCACTAGGGTGAACTCCATTTTTATCCGAATTCGTGTGTAAACTTCTATTATCAAAGCCTCTGAGCTCAGCTGAGGAAATCCA